CATTCCACCGACTGCAGCGCCTCTGGTATCGTCTCACCATCAGCCCTCTATTTAGTTTTCTTTCGGGACAACGGCTTCAGAGGCTCTACTTCTGGCTATAAGAAGCGCGCCGCCGCTGCTGTTGTTACTACCGTAACAGTTGCCTTCGTATGCTGATATTACACTTGGTCGACGTCATTGTGAGCTTCGTCCTCCTGTTCGTTTTCTATTTCATCCTCGGCGGCGTTTTCGAGGAGAGCTTCTGTTTGCTACCGGCAAATCGGTCGCCAGCGCTGTTTATTCTCTAGCGTTCATCTTCCCACGATCACAACTTGCCCCCTTCCCCCTCCCCTCCCGCTCGCCTACCATCTCTTCAGAATCAGCGGCTCAGGCCGCGGCATCAGCCTGCCCCACGCTTCAGTGCGATAGGCAGACGGACGAAAAGACCACCAGCACCGTCGATCAGTTGTCAGCAGTGGAACAATCAGTTATAGTGGCTGTACTAGTATTAGTAATGGCGACTATAAGAGTTGACAGGATAACGATGGTGGCCGGGGTCGCCGTCCTGGTAAAAGCCCTTTGTGATTTGCGACGTCGGTGGGGTTAATACAACTGCTATAACGAGATAAATACAAATGAGGCGAGGCATAGACTCTCCCTTGGCCGGGTTACTTGGGTCACGATGCGTCACACGTAATAAGAGAAGGAGACCGACGAAAGGCTGCCCAGTGCACCATTGACATCTCACTCTGACGGTTGCTAAGTGGCCTTTGCCAGGGAAGACATAGAAGGACATATATAAAGAAAGTTAGAAATGAAAAGAGAAGTACCGTAACCGTTAGGAAACCTGTTTGAAACTGCCCTAGCTGTGCCTCTGTTTTCCTGCTTTTGATTCGTTTTACTGCGCCCCCTCGACACCCAGATGCAGTTCGTATTTACTATAAACTAATAATAATAGCCGTGGTAATAATAACAATAGAGAACTTGGATAGCGTCAGTGAACAAGGGAACGGGCCCGTTCCTTGAGAAAGGTGCACTTATATCTGTATATCATAGACAATCGAAGCATAGCCCGAGTTCTGGATTCAGTCAACTCTCCACAACAACTTACCCACGCTGTAATGATCGGACGTTGTAAGATTGCTCAGCTAACGACACTGAAATATAAACCAATCCAGCGTTTGTGTTACGTTGGGTAAGGGTTGTAGGAAGTTTACTTACGACCGATTATTGGATGTATCATCTAGATCCGTTGCTGCTTTCACTTTTGTAGCTATAGTAATGGCTATTTATATATATATATATATATATATATATTTAACATCTTAGAATTAAATCAGTAACGCACTCAAAAAGCGTATCCGAATGACGTTCTGAGCAGTAAAAATTTTCCTGGTAACGTACTGATCAAAAAGTGTAATTCCATCGAAAGCATTACCATATCTTTGGCGGTAAAATTAATAATCAGGCTCAACATGGCAAAAGAATTACTCCCAGTATATGCCATGAATTATTATGTAACCTAAAATTCAAAGCCAAAAATCGCATCGCATTGGTCATACGCGTAAGTGATTAAGAGCCACACAGAAAGTACTGCAGTAGTTGTATGCTATCTGTCGAACATTTTTCCGTCTTTGCATGCGTCTGTGAGCGCCAAACATCGCACGTCTTCCAGAGCTGAAAATGCGGTGGCGGACAGAAACTTCAACCACGAAGTAGTGGGGATTGCTCTCTCGGTTTTGTTAGCCGAAGGTGACGACGACGCTGGCAACTGCAAACGAGACGTAGACTTTAACAGAGTCCTAGTCGCACAGATCAAACGAGAGCTATATCAAACAGACGGAGGCAGCGAGGACGGCTGACGGGACGACCACGAGGGCAAATGCCTTTTCTGTTTCTTGCCGACGTACATGCGGAGTTGATGTGGCTGACGGTTGCTTTAGTAAACTACGATACGACGACGAAATACGCGGGATCCTGCTGTCTGTCACGGTTCGCCGGACACAACCGTCTTGGCCTCGCGCCCGAAAGGAATGCTCAGATTTACTGCACAAGCCACTGGGCAGATAAAAACACTGGCTGAAGTCCAGTTCCAAGAAGTCCGGAGCACGACACACACACAGTCACATCAGGGCTTTAGTGAAGTAGCGTAAGATGTGCAGCTGGACCATTTAGCGAAACCATAAACGGACAGAAAGGAAGTTGAAATAGGTTTGAGGGGCTAGCGTACAGATGCACGAGCAAGTGCACCGAGGGAACGCGTAGGGGAGGAGAGATTTGATAAGGCTTTCAAAGTTCATACTTTGTATTTGTAGCGTTACTACAGAATAAAAAGATTATGGATGAAGGCATGTATATAGAATCAATACATGGATATATGTATGCGATCACATGGCCAAAATGAAGACACTGCCTTTTTTGATCGGTCGATGCCAAAGGAGGCTTTAAACGAACTCAGCATAGAATGCCATAAAGCATTTGCTGCAAAATCAGCGCTTGGTCTACTGATGGCGTAAATCAAAAATAGAAATTTATGCATAGATATAATGCACTTACATCTACATCCTTTCCGGGTTGACATATCTACAACTGTTCATATACGGGCAATGGTTTAAGCATTCCGAAGTGGTCAAGCGTGAGCTCATAGACCCAGATGCTGTTGGGGTTCAATAGTGTGTGGCAAATTTTCACGCTAACTCTAGTTATCAAATTGAAAAGAGGTATGGACATTGTTTGAGAGCAAGGCTAATTGCCTTCCAGTTTCTTCTCTTTAACACGTTTTTCCCAAAGCACAATGTTGTGTTCTACTTTATAGTATCTGCACCAAATCCTAAAATTTTTTACTACTTTATCCTAAACGGACCAACGAAGCAGTCAAAAGCACACTCTATATTAACGGTCGCAAAAAATCAGTCGAAGCAAACTTTTTTCATTATTTGCTTTTCTGCTAATGACACCCTTCTTGTTTCTTTTTCCGCATATTGTACGACCTACTCAATGAATGTAAAACAAATACGTTACACCGTTGTACTCTTTGACTATAAGAGGTAGCATTTCTTTCAGTATCGTATAATTCACGTCGTTTTTACTATAGCCATTTTCACTATAAGCCTCTCCTACTACGAAATTCGTGGCGCCACAGGTTACCCCCACCCAGACCAGCACGGTTATAGCAAAAATAGCAGATAATGGCGGAAGACACCGTCTGTACATAGTATGCCGTAGCACCCGTACTACATAGAACGTCGCTGATGGAGCTACTCGAGCGTGCAGTGCACGCCCTGTCGGGGCACCCCCTATCAAATACAGGCGATGCTATAGCCAGGGGCTACGCCTATCGTGTGCAGAGCTATTTAGTCAGTGAATACCTTACGAAGTCTCGGCCTGGCGGTTACCGCACGACAACCCTAATAGCCGTACCACACAGCACGACAGCATAAGGGTAGGAGAAACCAAATGAATTACTATACGTAGCTAACCCACGTGCGCCCGCAGCTGGCACCACTGCTGTTCGTGCTGATACGAGTCGTCTCACTGATGCTGAAATGTCAAATGCAGTACGATCCTGTCTATCCTGCCGCGGAATAAAGAGAACTGTGTTGCCGGTAGGGTGAGGCAGTTGGCGCTAACGTCAGCTAGACAATTAAGTTGACGCTTTTCAGCTGGCTCGTTGCTGTCGAGTATCGAACTCAAGTGAGTGATCACTAATCGCGCAGAAACACAACTGACGAAACTGACAAAACAAGAGGGGAAGGTGGGCTATAAAATATATAAACAAAGCTTATGACTATTTCAGCCTTGTCACCCCCCCCCCCCCCCCCGCCCTGCGCCAGATTTCCTTCGCTGAAACAAATCAAGCAACAATCATCATGCGTCTTTCAAAGGACGATTCAGTATCTATAGGTATGTTTGTGTAAAAGATCGCTAAAAATCTGAGTCCATCCAGCTACAACTGCAGGCGGGGAAGGCACTCGTTCCGAAAAATACTGATAGGGTGCAATACAAATGCCCGCGTATTTCAAATAAGATACATGCGCTATATTCCTTTACCGGTTCTACACATATATTGGATACGTGAGATTCGTCTAGAGTGATATGCTTTGATCTTCGAAACTTAATGAAGGGTACGTAATACTAACTCGCATCATTTCAATATCAAAACATTACCTTATTACAAACATTATCAAGGAGCCTTCGATAACTTCATTCGTTGAAGTGTGAATCTTGTTAATAACATGCTTCGATCGTATGTGCGTTAAGCGTTGCTTCAGATGACCGGCTCTCGGCAGAGATTGTCGGCATTTCAGATACAGACAAACAAGTGTCCTTAGGTTTTTTAATTCAACGCTTTACCGCGACATTATTATGGGGACGTATAGAAACTATTGAACAAGGCTGATGTGGGATGACGTACATACGTATATATGTGAAGTGTGCACTGTCTTAGCACTCCCACTCTTGTTTAACTAGAGCACTATTATACCAACAAATTAACAAAACTATTAGTTAACATATAGAACACTAGGCTACCCCGTTTGTTGCCCTTCCTGAGACTACAACATTCTAGAGAAACTCAATTCTAGTGAACTATTCCAGATCAGACCTGTTTCGTAGTCGGTAATTAGTACGACCTGTAATTTCTCTGATTCTCATTACATTTTAAGCTGACCGCTAAGCAAATAAAAACATGGGTCTTGTTTGTTTTACGAGATTTTTCTTTGTTTCGAGCATTTATTAACAACATTTCTTTGCCTACGCACTTACGGCGTTTACTTTCTTTACGACCTTCGGCTTTTAAATATTACTTACTATGTACAATATTAGCATCTATGGATTTATGTTATCATTATTACTGTTGTTATCAATAATATTATTATCATTATATTACAGCGGACCACCGATTCTATCTCTATAT